GACTAAAACAAGGTTTTCTGTGTTAGTGTTTTTCCGGCACCATGGTGATAATATAAAAATCTTAGTATTTTCCACAAAAAATATGGAATTTTGAAATGTGCTCTAACCGTACTTTCATTAAATAATTGGACGAGCTCATACCAAATGCAGCGCTGATATAAGCTTGCATAGTAGCCTGGGCCCCTGCTCGCTTTCAGAGTACTTGCGTAAAAGTGCCATTCTCTTCTTTTTTTTTTTTCCTTAGACGGAGTCTTGCTCTGTCGCCTCGCCCAGGCTGGAGTGCAGTGGCGCAATCTCGGCTCACTGCAACCTCCACCTCCCAGGTTCAAGCAGTTCTCTGCCTCAGCCTCCTGAGTAACTGGGATTACAGGTGCCCGCCACCATGCCCGGCTAATTTTTGTATTTTTACAAATAGAGACAGGGTTTCACCATCTTGGCCAGGATGGTTTTGAACTCCTGACCTCGTGATCCACCCGCCTTGGCCTCTGAAAGTGCTGGGATCATTTTCTTCTTTCTTGCCATTCTCTTTGCCACACTACAGTGATGTAGGCAGGAGTGTGTGTGTGTGTGTGTGTGTGTGTGTGTGTGTGTGTGTGGGAATTATTTTGATAATAACTAGGGGGCTTCAAAGGTGAATGAGATACCTTTACCCCAGAAAGTTCGGATCTGTATAAAAGGCACTGGAGCTGAAGAACACTCAGTTTATCAGGGGAAAGGGATCCAGGAAGGACAGTTCACAACCAGGGGGAAATCTTAGGGGAGTAGAGTATGGGAAGTACAAATGATGTGTAAAATAAACAGGGTGATAAGATTTGGAAGGATAAGAAAGGCTACGCCAGACTAAGGAATTTGGGCATCATTCTACAGGCAGTTGGGAGCTATTACAGGTTTTTCAGTTGTTTAATGATATGGCCTGGGATGCATATCTCTTTTTACAGTAAACTTTGAAGTCTCTGTTTCCCATGCCTCCAATGTTCCTTCCACGAACAACTCTATTAGTTCTACTTGCAGAGTATATCACAGACCCAGCTTCTGTAGATAGCCTTCACTGTCAGAAGGCTCACCCAGGCCACTGTCACCTATCAACTGGGCTGCCACAGCAGCTTAGTTGGTTGTTGCTTTTATGCTTGCCTTGCCATTACATTCTGCACAGCTAAGTAACTTTTACAAGTCCAAATAAATGTTATCACAGTCTGTGACCTGGCCCTGGCCTCTCTTAAACTCATATTCTATCCTTTCTTCCCCCTCCCTCCCTCACCTCAGAGTCTCTGCATTTGCTGGTCGATTTGCCTGGGATGGTCTTTCCTCAGATTATCACATGGTTAGCTCCTGACCAAAAGAGGCCTTCTTGCTCTTTGATGTAGACAAGGCTCAGCCCCAGTGACACTCTCCATCATTTACCGGGTTCATTTTCTTTATAACACTTACTGCTATTGGGTGGATTTCCATATTGGTTTGTGAGTTTAATACTTGTCCCCCAAGCTGCTCAACTAGATGTATACAGGGGCTTTGTTGACTTCTGTATCCCCAGTGCCTAGAAGAGTCCTGGCACTCAGTACATTTTTATTAAATTAATTAATTTAGAGATTTGAATGACTAGAGCAGAAGGCCAGATTAGAGCTGGTTGCAGGGTTTCTTGGACAATGAGAATACATTGAGGGTCTTGTCAGTGGGAATGAAGGGAGGGGGCAGGCCAAAATGAGGTCATAGGGAGAACTAACAGATTTGACATGGTGTGAAGTGTTGACTTGTTGGAGAGGGAAGAGGTAAAGGATTTTGAGCTTAGATGAGCTATTGGAGGCCAGGAGAAGTTTCTGGATTTGGTGGTAAAAGGAACAGTTGTAGAGGTGCCATGTTTGAGTACTGTTGGGATGGAGGTTTCCAGCACACAGTTGCATTTTGAGGTTATTCAGAGATTTTTTTTGTTACGTGAGAGGCATTGCTACAAATGAAGCAAGGATCATGGCTCAGAAGATGCTGGGGGAAGCCATATTTCCTGCTCAACTATAGCTTGGCTGTAGCAAGTCATTGAACCTCTCTGAAGCTCAGGTTCTTCATCTGTAAATGATAATAAAAAATTGCATGGCAGGGTGGTTCTGAAAATTAAACTTCTCTCCCTCTTTTTTTTTTTTTTTTTTTTGCTTATCAGTATGAGAGTTTATATTTGTTTACTCTAGCGATTCACATCCTAGCTACATAGTATACTGTGATTCCATTTCATTTCTTGTACCAGTCTTATTATTTTTTTGGTACTAGTCACTCTTTCATCTCCAAACTTTCCTCAAAATCTGAAATGTTTTCTCTCAGTAATTTCAAACCAACATGTATTCAGTCAGTTTATTTTTCCCTCCCCTTAGAATTACCTTTCCTGGCCTCCTCTGACTTCATGCTCCAATTCAGTTTGCTCTCTCAGCTTGCTGCATAGCTCTGTCATCTGGAATCCCATTATCTTCTCTTGTTTTGGATCCTCTGTATCCAGATCTTATTTTCTTCCTCATTATTTACCTCACTTCTTCATTCTGTCAAGGAATATTCATCCTGTAGCTTTCTGAGAAAGAATGCATGGGAGGTAATCTCTTTGAGACTTTGTAGAGCTTTATTCCGCTTTCATACTTTATTGACCTTTTGGCTGAATATAGAATTCTAGGTTGGAAATAATTTTTCCTCAGCATTTTGAAGAGTGCCTCATAATCTTTTAGCTTCAGGTATTGCTGTTGTTGAGAAATCTGATGCCATTGTAATACCCTTGCTTTCCATGTGATCTTTTCTTCCCATTTGAAAGTTTTTAGACCCTTCTTTCCTTCCTTAGTATCTTAATATTTCATAGGGATAAATCTTCATGGGGTGCCTTTTTCATGAGTTGTACTGGGAGGTTGATGGACCTTTTCAGTTTGAACACTCATCTAAAATTCTTGGAAATGTTTTTGAATTATTTCTTAGAAATTTTACTCCTTTTATTTTTTCTAGTCTCTCTAAAACTCCTGTTATTCACATATTCGATAGTTCTGGCCTAGTCTTGTGATTTTCTTATATTTTTCACTCATTTTTTATCTGTCTTTTTAATGTTTTTTGTTGTTGTTGTTTTGTTTTACTTTTCTTCTGCTCAGTACACTTCCCCAAATTTTCCCTGTGTAACTATTTTGTTTTTTTGGTCTCTGTCTTTCCTAAAACAGAGACCTAACTAAAACAACTAATAATCCTAGATTGTCTGTACTAGTTACATATCAATGGTTTGGTATTAACTATTTAATAGTTAAATGCCAAGCTGAACTAAAATCCTTTTGTGTATGAGTCATACTTGTCATCTTGAAGCCCTCACCCTAAGGCAAGGACACGTTTTCTTGCGGGCATCTCTCAAGTAGGTCTTTAGTCTTGAGTTGGCTGGGTTGCTGGAAAGGGACTATCTATCTAGTCTCTTCTTGGAGTATATCAGTTTGATTTCTTGCATCCTGGGAGCTGGCTATTTCACTGTTTAGCATAAAGACATACCTCAGCTCCCTGTTTTCAGTGTGTAGCCTCTTTCCTGCCCTGGGCTAACCCTGATGCTCCCAAGTCTCAACTCTCTCTGGTTCACCTTCTCTAGAGAGTAAATATCCTGGCTTCTTCAGGGTTAGGGAGGAGTCACTTCCTTTTTGGAAAGGAACTGCAGTTCTGATCTCCTGTTCTAGATCAGGAGTTGGCAAAGTTTTTCTGTGAAAGAGCTAGAGAATAAAGATTATGGGCTTTGCAGCCTGTATCACGGTCTGTGTGGCATGTTGGTCCTCCTTCTCTTCCTCCTCCTCCTTTTTTTTTTCTCTTTTAAACAACCCTTTAAAAACTAAAAACAAAACAAAATGATGGCATTCTTAGCAGGACAACCTCTGATCTAGAGGATTCTTTTGGACACTGTCAACTTACCATCTTTTATCATCTCTACCCCATACCCCTGCCTTCAGAGGAACTTGAAGCCTCCAATTTCTGAACCTTTTTGCATTTTATGGCAAAACTGGTTTGGTTTCCTGTGGGTATCCTCCACTCCAATTTTCCCCTGCCTCATGAAAACTTAGGTTTCAGCTTTCGTGGGTTTGCTAGGTGAGCAACCACTTATCTGTCTTCTTACCATTTTCCAAAAGGTTGGTTTTTTCCTTGTCTGCCTCTTTCTCTGCCCTTATTGGGCTATGGCTTTTTTCTTCCTTTCCCATCAGGTCAGTAGGATTTGGGGAGGGAGGGAGAAAAATACGTGTATTTAATATAGTAAGTTTAACCAGAAGCTCCCACCAAATCCAATTTGGTTGGGTTTGATTTTTTACTACTCTCTTTGATAGTTCTTGGGTTAATTTTGCATTTGTTCTCCATGTGCTCACTTGCTATGCCAGATGTTTGAAGAAGATGTCCTTGGGGAAGAAAAATGAGGGGTTTTAAAATATAATGTTCTTGAAATGCTCACAGTGGTTCAGTGTGTGAGATCCCAAAGAGGCCCAACTCTTTCTAACCACCAGACTCTCATCATAGAAATGCAGTTTCACCCTTATTTGTGCGAACCATCAGAAGCATTTAAAAATGTTTATAATAAAGTTTGTGGCTTATTGTTTCAAATTGCATTTAAGGTAGTAAACTGAAGCTTTTGGTGGTGTGTCCCTGACACAGGGAGAGCCTGTGGTAAGTGATCCCTAAGAGCTGATCAAAGAGAGTTGTTGAGCATTTTTTCCTGTATTTGTGTTTTGGTCCTTTAATCTGGTAGCGTTTCCAATTCCATTCTGAATACAGTAATGCACATTCCCTCCCCCACTTACATCTTCCTGACAGCATGTGGCATTTTCTTTGCCAAATGGCCCCTGTTCCGACATAAACCTGCCTTTGCCATCAAGGGTATAATGAGGTATGAACAATGGTGGTTGTCAGAAAATGGGCATCTTTCAAGATCTTATTCATGCCACATTTTTGTTCTAATAATCAAGTGAAAATTGAAAATTAAAAAAGTAAAATTCACTGAAAAATGACTACTAGTCCTTTCTGCCTAGGTTCACCTTTCCTCGCCAGTGAAGATGGCGTGCTAGGCGGAGTGATTGTTCTCCGTTCGTGCAGATGTTCTGCCGAGCCTGACTCCTCCCAAAATAAGCAGACACTTCTAGGTAAGTGAGACATGTGCATTGTGTGCGTCTTTCTCTTTTATTTTATTTTTTCAAGAAAAAATGAAAATATGTATACCCTTAAGTCAATAATTTTAAACTGCGGGAGGGTCGGCATGCTTTATTGCTGTCTGAACCTCCCTGTTCTGCTGATCGTTTTCCATAGGTAAGCATGTAAAAGATGAATGTTCATTTTTAAGTACACACTTAGAGAATATATTTCAAATAAGCTTAGAACCAAGGACCTTTACTAAAGTCCAGTATTAACAACATTGGACCACATATTCGTGCCCTATCTTATTCCGCAAAGCACTTGAGGTGACCCCATAACAAGGCACACAGTAATAGAGAGAGAAGCTTCTTCCTGTTCCCATTCCCCAAAAGGAATGAGAAGCGAGTGAAGAGCTACTGGCCTAGAGGTCAGTCCTGGCTCTGTGGCTCGTTAGCCATGACACCTTCGTGCTTCAGTCTTGCTGTTCCATGCCATTTCCTCATCTGTAAAACAAGGACGTCTGCCCTGCCCTCCTCATAAAGCTGTGCTGAGAGAGGGTCAAATGAGTGTTTTTGCAGATTTGCAGATGTCCATCCAGATGTGTGGTTTTGTTTCCAGCCAAGCACCAGTGGGATGAAACCCAGCCCACCCTCTGTTTGTGAAGGCACAGAGTTGTGGGGCGGCCGCTGACCACAGGGTTGCCTTTTTCTAATCCATCTCTCCAGAGGGGACACATTAAGAAAATCTGCATAAAGGTGACACATACACTAGCAGGGGCACCATATGTTATTTTTTTTAAGTTAACTTTTTAACTGAAGCATACGTACATTTTTAGAAAAGTGTACAAATCATAACTGCAACTGCTTGATGAATTATCACAAAGTGAACCCACCCCCCTGTAACCAGCACCCAGATTAAAAAAAAAAATAGAACTTTACCACAACCCCAGAAGCCCCCTTTTGACCCCTTCTGATCTCTACCCCCTCCAAAGTTAAACAGTATGCTGACTTGTAACACCATGGTTAGTTTTGCCTGGTTTTATTTATTATGTCAATAGAATCAGGAGTATGTATCACTTGTGTCTAGTCTTCAGTCAGTATTTAAGCTTGTTAGATTCATCCATGTTACATGCAGTAGGAGTTTGTACATTTTCATTGCAATAGCTCAGTGTACTAGTCCATTCTTGTGTTTTTTGTTGCTTTTGTTTTTTTTAATACAAGCACTATAGGTCATCCACGGGAGTTGTGGTAGTTTAACCCTTCCTGTAAATTTCCTTACAGAAAGCGTGAGTGGTGCCTGATGTATATTGTGTGATTGTTGTCAATTGCTATAGTACATGTCCCTTCGTAGTTTATGAAGTAGAAGACTGAGTGTTTTTTATGGGTATAAAAATACTTTTTCTATAGAAGCCCAAAACATTTTCATAAAATCTCTTTGTTCATTCCTCAGAGAAAAAGTACACTTTATATAAAAGGCCTTTTTCTCCACCTGGACGCTAACCACCAGCTGTATTTTTTTTTTTTTTGCCATAGTCTTTCCTTCTACCCTCTGTACGTAGTACCTAGGTTACTCCAAGGAGATGTGCTTTTTAACAGTCATGTTTTGTTAAAACAAGACAAATACTAGTTTTATTCTTTGGTATCTTAATCATTGTTGAATCCTTTGAATGTTCTTCCAGTTGGATAGTTAAACCCAACCTGGTTCGTTTTAAACATATGCGGAGGATGGACATGGGGTTTCCATAAAACCTTTACAGGGACATGGATGAAGTTGGAAACCATCATTCTCAGCAAACTTAACACAGGAACAGAAAACCAAACACCCATAACTGGGAGTTGAACAGTGAGAACACGTGGACACAGGGAGGGGAACATCACACACTGGAGCCTGTCAGGGGCTAGGAGGCTAGGGGAGGGATAGCATTAGGAGAAATACTTAATGTAGATGACAGATGGATGGGTGCAGCAAGCCCTCCATGGCACGTGTATACCTATGTAACAAACCTGCACATTCTGCACATGTATCCTGGAACTTAAAGTATAATAAAACAAACAAACAAAAAACCTCAGAAGAATAACCCTTAGTGTTTGGGCAGCGGTGGGTTGCGGGGGGCATTAAAATTGTTTCATCGATATTTCCTAAAAAGAGTATCACAGTACTCTGCTGAGCCTGGACTCTTACCTATTTGTGTTAACCCTGAAAACTGTAATGTCTTTTTGTTTGGCTTTTCATTTTTGGTGGTACAAAAATGCATATTTAAGGATAAGCCATAGTATTTTAGCTCACGTTATATAGTTTTTATTACCAATGTAGTGATTTATAAACTCTTTATTTCAAGAGGAAGCATTAAGTGTGAAGTGCCAATTTATGAAATAAGTGAAACCTTGCCGTTTGTTAACTGGAGGTGTTGATGCTTGTGAAGCTTATCTACTAAAACCTGGCGAACATAGGCTAATGTCAACTTACAGATGCTACCAATTGTGTGAACTTTCTGTAACAGGTATGAATGTTAAGTATGTGGTAAGAAAATAAATTCAAAAGGTATAGAAGTAGGAAACAAAGTAAATTCAAACAGTATAGAAGGACAGGAATCAAAGATGTGAAAGTCACCTTTTATACTCCATTTCCAGAGCCACCAGTCAGTCTTTGGTTCTGGTTATTCTCATGGGAAACACCCTCACTCTATAGAATGTGCTCACACATCTATTTCTTGATTAGTCAGTAACTTGTGACCCCTTGCTGTGAAAAAATTAAAAACCCAGCCCCCACCACATCCCACTTCTCTTCCTTCCTGATTTTTGTTGGAATTCTACTCTAACTGGAAATAATATTTTAAAAATTATTGCACTTCAACACACTCTTTCTTGATCCATTAACTTTATATAATGTCTATCAAACATTCCTCACCACTTCAACTATGTAAGTTGAGGAACGTTCGTGCACTGTTTTCTGTTAGTCTGTTTTCATGCACTGTTAGTCTGTTTTCTGTTATTCTGCTTATGACAGAATACCTAAAACTAACAGAATGCCTGAGTGATTTGTAAAGAAAATTAATTTATTTCTTACAGTCATGGAGGCTGAGAAGTCCAAGGTCAGGGGGCTGCATGTGATGAGGGCCTTCTTGCTGGCGGGGACTCTCTGTCGAGTCCATAGCGGCACAGGACATCACATGGTGAGGCGGCTGAGTGTGCTAGCTCAGGTCTCTCTTCCTCTTCCTATAAAGCCACCAGTTCCAGTCCCATGATAACCCATTAATCTGTGAAGGTATTAATCCATTCATGAGGGCACAGTCCTCATGACCTAATCACCTTTTCAGGGTCCCACATCTTAATACTGCCGTATTGGGGAATAGGTTTCAACATGGATTTTGGAGGAAACAAACATTCAGACCCTATAGCACTTGCTTTTCTCCTTTTCTCTTCCTCCTTCACTCTCCTACCTCACCTCAATCTCTGTCAACAATACCATTGTTGTTATGATTATTAACATGTGCCTTCTTATATCTATGCTTATCTCTGTAGTTTGATCAGGGGTTGACTCTAAATAGTGTCAGTGACCAGCATTGACAGCATCAGGATTATAGTATAAATAGTGCTCACTGCATACCTTAGAAGCAGAAGATTGGACATGTGGAGATCAGGGTTTGTCATAAACCTCTGCCTGTAAAAGGACTGTTTCAGTCATTGAGATCAAGTGGATTCTCCTTTCTATCAATTGCTCCAAATTAGCTATAAATTAATTTGCTTCATGTTTGGACCATGACTTCCATTTATTGCTTTTTCACTGTCATAAGAGTATAACTATAAACTCCTGGCTCCTGGATGCTCAGTAATTTCTAGTAACAAGAAAGCTCAGAAGTCTTTCTTTTCTACACATCCAAATAAAACAAAATAATTTCCAAAATTAAAAAAAAAAAACTGCTGTATATTGTTAATCACTTTTTTGGTCCCAAGAATAATATAATCACACAATCTCCTACTGTAGCCTTTTATGTGTCCACTTTCTTTTCTCAAAATCATAAATATTTTTCTCATTACATCACACAAGCAGTTTCAGTCAAACCTCATTGCTGCTTGATGGAGTTTCCTGGAAGCCGTTACGTAGACTCTCCTCTTGACAAATACATTAGTTATCAGAGCTCCAGTGGGCTGCTTCCAAGGTGATATGACTCAAGTAATGGACACCTGTGAGGTTTGCCCTTTGTCTACTGATTCATGAATAGAATTGGAGAATCTCAGATATGAAGGAACTTTCAAAGTCCACTTGTGTGACCTTGTTACAGGTGCTTTGTCCATAGTTTGTTGAATACTCCTCCCTTCAAGAGGTGGAGCTCAATTCCCCTGCCCTTGACTCTGAGCCAAACACTGCAGACTCGCTTCCAACCAGTAAATTTATGGCAGAAGTGACAGTGTCCGATTTCTGAGACTAGGTCAGAAAGGCATTGTGGCTTCCTCCTTGGGCTCTCTGTTGAATCACTCCCTCTCAGTGAGACCAATTGCCATGTCATGAGAACACTCAAGCAGCTGTGTTTTAGAGAAGACCACTTCGCAAAAAACTGCGACCTCCTCCCAACAGCTGCTTCTGAGGAACCAGGGCTTCCTGCCAACAGCCTCAGAGATCTGAGTGAGCCTTCAGATGACGGCAGTCCATGGCAGCATCTTGACTGAAATCTCATTGGAGACCCTTTGAAAGAACCACCCAATGAAGCCACTGCAGAATTTCTGACCCACAGAAACGTGAGATAATAAGTGTTTGCTGTCTTAAACCACCACATTTTGAGAGAATTTATTATGTAGCAGTAGATAACTAATAAGCCTTTTAAGCCCTTCCGCCTAATGAGCTGCGATGACAAATCAAGGTGCTCTGTTGCCATCTTTAGGCAGCTTTTGGATTTTCGTTTTCATCAGTAGATCCTGATTCTCTTTGTGTACCCTCTCGGACAAATATGATGCGTGTCCTCTTCAATGCAGTCTCTAATCAAGTTTCCCTCACCTCCAGCCTTTCCTTCTCT